CTTATATATGATTACTTTTATATACAATTTTTTTTTTTTTTTTTAGTATATAGTACATACGAGTATACGAATGAGAATGAATCTCGATGTTCTCAATATGGAAGCGGTCCTTTCACATTTTACGTCACTCTAAGTTACGGGCCAGTTAATTCTTCGATTAAGAACCGAATGCCATAATACACCCCGAACTTCGGCATATTTTCTCATGAATAACCTTGATATTACGTATTTCTGAATAACACCTCTAATCGATGGTATCATTTCTAACATTTAACAAATGTCTAATCATTCAAAATGTCGATTATTATTAATATCCATCATAATTTTCTATGAACTCTGACTTATTTACATTTAATAAAAATTATGTAAATATTTAGAAAAAAAAAAAAAAGAAGAGAATATATATACCTAATGATTATTGATGATATTTTCTAGGGAGAACCATTTCGCGAGCTTCGAGAAAAATATCCGGAAAGATTGAAGAAAATGATTGCTATACCGGGTGAATTAACGATAGATGGATTAGATTTGGCCGAAGCTGACAAGGAAAGATTATTGAAAGAAATTTCTGTGGTAATTCATACGGCTGCAAATGTTAAATTTGATCTTCCATTGAAGACCGCAGTTAATGCTAATACGAAGAGTACCATGAATGTTTTAGCTTTGGCTAAACAGGTAACGTATATCTACAAAAATAAATATATGATAAATAATTCACGAAGAATTTTAATAGATCATAAAATAGTAGATTTCATTTTATGAAACTAATAAACAATACAACGACACGAGAAATGTGTGTGTGTTTTTTTTCTTTTTTCTAGATGCCTCACCTTGAGTCCTTCGTACACGTATCCACGGCATATTGTCAGTGCAGCGAGGAAATATTAGAAGAACGTGCATACCCAACACCAATTTCACCTGAAAGTGTAATATCCATTGTTAACACGATGCCTGATGACGTTTTAGATGCAATGACACCAAAATTGCTCGGTAAACAACCGAATACTTATGCATTTAGCAAATCACTCAGCGAGGATCTTTTGTACAGATCTAATTTACCTGCTGGTGTAGCACGACCCTCGATAGGTATGATGTGATGATATCTTTTTATATAAATAACTCTCTACGTGTAATAGTGACGAAAGGATTAAGTCGGTATTGAAAATGAAAGAAGATTATATAAAATTTAATGCATTTTGTCAAGAGAGATCAAAAGTATGTTATAATAGTAATGCCGTGTTATTTAGGATTTACCTGTACTATATTATTTCCTTTCACCATTAGATTATTCATTTGATTATGATTTCAGTGATAGCATCATGGAAAGAACCGACACCAGGTTGGATCGATAATATAAATGGTCCAACCGGACTGATGATTGGTGCAGGGAAAGGTGTATTACGTACGATGCTTTGCAATGGAGATTATTTGACGGATATAATGCCATGTGATATTGCTGTTAATTCAATTATAGCATTGGCTTGGCGCGTTGGTATGGAAAAACCTGAGAAACCTATTTTCATGAATGTCACGGAAAGCGGAGACAATCCTGTAACATGGAGCCAAATAATAGAAATTGGAAAGAAACAAACTCTGAATTATCCATTTTCTGGTAAGTAATAAACAATATAATCAACATTTCGAAAATACGTATGATGAAATGACGTGATAAATATTAAAACAGGATATTTGTTGTTGTTGTAGTATATGTTTAATAATTATGAGTGTTGTTAAAACATCATATCTCGTAATCAATTTTGTTTTGATCAAACAATTTATTATTTCTTAATCGAATCACGTAGAGATAATCTTTCTTTTATTTTATTTTTTTTTTATTGATACTTGTTACGAAGACTAATCATAATAAAAGATAATTTGGAACTAATCGACACGTAATTTCATATCTCTCTCTCTCTCTCTCTCCCTCTTTGTGTAATTTATCCGGATTAATAATTATTATGTCACGTGTATACTTTAATACGTTATATTATATACATACATATATATATATTTTGATGAGAGTGTTAAGTTGAATATTTTTATTTGCAGGACTGTTATGGTATCCAGGTGGAAGAGTAACTTCATGGAGAATTTTACATTGGCTTGCCGTATTATTTTTGCATTTTATACCAGCGTATCTTTTAGATGCTCTCATAGTTTTATCTGGAAATAAACCATTCTTAGTAAGAGTTCATCAAAGAATCACATATGGTTTAGAATTATTGCAATATTATACAACTAGACAATGGATATTTTTGTAAGTAATTTTTGCAAAAATTATAATTAACTTACGAATGAAAAAAAATATATATTTTCTTATCTTTTATTTTCTAGAAATGAAGTGAAGAAAGATCTGCAAAATCGTCTTACTCCGAAGGATAGAGAAACTTTCTTTATGGATACCACTGCCATATCTTGGGAAGAATATATGCAAAATTATATTTTAGGAACAAGAAAGTATTATTTGAAAGATGATTTTTCAACCTTACCTCGTGCAAGACAAGTTTTGTCATATTTTTATATCGCCGATTGTATAGTGAAATTTCTATTTGTGATATTTATCACATGGATTATTTATTCTTGGATGAATACATCTAATGGAATAACAGCGGCGTTAATTGGAAAGAATGAAATTTAAAAGACATTTTTTTTTTCATCTTATAGACTTTGACTTTAACTGTTTTATCGATTTAGTAGTTAACTGTCTTATCGACTCGATATCATTTGTTTTATCGACTCAGTAGTATCTACCTTATCGACTCGATATTATCTGTTTTATCGACTCGATGAAATCTACCTTATCAATTAATGACATTTACTTTACCGACTTATGGTATCTTACAGTTTCTTGATGTATCATCAAGAATCTCAATATTTATTAATAAATAATAATCTTTCTTAGATAAAGAAAGAGAGATAGAAAAAAAAAATAGTGCAAGAAGAATTTAATTCAAAATAGTGTTTCAATACAACAATACAATAGTAGTTTTAAATGATTAATAAAATATGTAAATTCTTACATTTGGTGACTTTTAAACTATTGTTATATTATTTTTTTTTGTAAACATATCATATCTAGTATAATTTTAAGTAAAAATTGTTTTCTACAATTTATGTAATATGTTACATATAAGTAACACGTGTGTTGTATTTTTTTTGCTTGTGTGGATATACAATAAAATGAATTTTTTTTTCTCAACGATACCCAAAGTTCTTGAAAAAATTGAATAATATTTAAAAAATGATTTAATAAAATAAAATAAAAATAATAGAAAATTAAAAAAAAAAAAAAAGGATGTGACGTACGTGACTTTTGGCACACCTCATATCTGGGAATTATTTCGAAGTTGTTTTAAAATGTGTCGAAAGTATAAGTAAGTATATAATGTTTCCCCTCTCTTTTTCTTTTTACAAATAGATATAAGAAGGTGTACAAAAGTATATAAAAACGTATGTACATATATACATACATGAATAAGTAAATAAATGTATGTATATATATATATATATATATGTAAGATACAAAGTTATTGTATGAGTTACCTGAACGGCAGATAATGAAAGTGAAATTACGGCAACGAGGTCGCATATTATACGGGCTTTCAAAGAATTGATATTTTATTTAGTGTCTTCTCTTTTTTTTATTTCTTTTCCCTTGAATTATTTCATCCCAAATTGTTGCACTCTTATTGCACTCGTTATATTATCATTTACCTTTCTTTTCAACGAGTTACGCGTTAATGTGTTACATAAGATCCTTTCAATCGTATTCATTGTTTATCTGAAATGTAAAAAAAAAAAATGAAACAATTATATATTGAATCATTCATATTTGTAAGATAATAGAAGAAAGAAGAATTGTCAATTGCAACTACTAAAGAAGTGATCAAATTTAATTGATGACATAACTTTCTAAAAAATCACGAAGAATCTTAACTGTAATCCTTTCTTGAAATATACTTGCGAAATAAATATTCTTATGCATTTAGAAAAAATGTATAAAGTTTACTTTTTTTACGATGACTCAACTAATTGTACATTTAATATTTGATAAATAATTTCATATGTCGTTTTCTAAGAATATTTAGTTTAATGATGAATATTCAATGAACTCGTTTTCTTCGACAATTTTTGCTTATTACCGAATGACCCTTTTCACGTGCGTCATTATGCACTTTTTAAATTATATATAACAATTATTATTTGTTTATATAATTATTCAAATGGATAAATTCAATGTATCATTTATTTAATTGTTATGAGAAAAAAAAGAGAGAGATAGAGAGAGAGAGAGATCTAACCATTGATATTTTATTTTTATTTAACGACAATACTTCTTAGAAAATTATTTAATTATTAAGTAGCGTTTGCATTTATTTCAAAAAAAAAAAAAAAAAAAAAGAAAAAAAGAAAAACAGATCTTTAGAAGGAACTTCTTATAAGATGACGAACACAAATGCTTTTTATAATAATATTTATCCGTTCAAGGCTTAAGTTTATCACGTAAATCTCGTTCGTTTTCCTTTTTTGTTTTTTTTTTTTAAGGTACTTCCTAGATGTCTTGTTTACTGATTTATTTTATTCAAAGCAGAAGAAGAAGAAGAAGAAGAAGAAGAAGAAAGAATATACAAGAAAATTATAATGATTATGTAAAACGTGACATGGTTATTGAAAAATTTTTGTTGAAATAATAATAAATCTTTATATCTGCGCACGCAAAGAACTAGAAAGAAAAATAATAATAATAATAATAATAATAATAATAATAATAATAATAATGAAATCTTTATTTTTACCATTACTCGTTTTATGTTAAATTTCAACATTTAGAATAATTATTAAAATGTAATGGTAAGAAATAAAATAATATTTTATTTATTCAAAACAATAATTATCATCCTATCTTTTCTTATTCCTATATTGCAATAGCCTTTTTTGTTGAAACCTTTTATCAGATGTTTAATTGATTCATAAAATGAATCACAATGATGAATATCAAATAATAATAATAAAAGAAATTCACACACACACACACACAAAATCCTTTGTTAATTTAGAAAAAAATAATAAAATAATAAAAAAAAATTTTAATTAAATATGGGTGAGGGTGAGTAAGAAACTGTGTTTGACAATTTCTATAATTAATGAAAACAATTGTATCATGGAAAAGATTGAAGAAATGAATTACGGCGTCGTTCTCCAATATGGCGATATTGACGCAAGTATTAAAATAATGGAAGGGGTAGAAGAATGGTGACCTAAACTTTTATTATATTTTCTAGGGGGATAAGTGGGAAGGAGAGAGAAGGAATCTGTGGTGGATGAGCGTGGATAGGCGAAAAACAGTGGACTTAGAACGCTATGCTTTGCCAGTCTTTGACATACTCACTATAAAGAGTAACACGAGTAACTTAAGACACAGATAAAGTCTTACATTTTTAGTTAACTTCAACGTTAAATAGTTCAAGAATTAAATTTAATTTCATTTCAATTTGTCTTTGATTAATTTTCATCAATTTAAAATCATTGAAATTTAAATACGTGTGTAAAATTGAACTGTGTACATTTTTTTCATCAACGTATCAAGAAAAAGGACTCAAATTTATTTTTAGTAAGTGTGTTTGATTATTTATAATTTTTTTTAATTGATTAATTAATATTAAAATAAATCGAAGTAAAAGGAAGGAAGAAAGAGAGAAGATGGTACACGTGTTTAATTGAAATTATATCAATTGTCATAAGTTGAATCAATGAGAATGATTTTACAATTGATACAAATTATAAATGTTTTAAATTTATACTTCATGAAATATTTAAAAGAATATATATATATATAATATGTACATTGTTTGTCAATCTTATAAAAGTGCAAGTGAATAGAATGATTGTTGATTCATGACTTATTATCAACAATATTATTTATAAAACCATTTATCTTTGGCCTAATTACAAGTTTCTTCTATCTTTCTTTCTTTCTTTCTTTCTTTCTTTCTTTCTTTATATGCATAAAATATAGTCTTATATAAAAGTGATAATAATTATTATATAATTAATATGCACTTATATATGATTACTTTTATATACAATTTTTTTCTTCAAATATTCAAATTATATAATAATAATTATTATTACAATTATTATACAAGTGCATAGATTGAATAATTTTGTAAAGCTTTATATAAAAAAAAAAAAAATAAACAAGTGTTAAGGGTTTAAAAATTTGTAAAAAGACACAAGTGCAATATTTACAAGTGCATAGAAAGAGTGAAGAAAAATATTGTCCTAATTTTCACGGTTCATTATTTTTAACAATCAAGTTATATAATGAAACATGCACGTTTGTAAATCAAATAATTCACGTGAAAAATCTACACGATACGATACAATGCCAATGAAAATTACAATTAATTTAACAATATGTTAGAATAATCAATTATCTTACATGAATTTTGAATTTCAATTGCAACCAAAGAAGTTTCCTAGGACAAATAATACAATTTGTTAGTATAATTAATTTGATACGTATCGTTTGTTGTTATTTCCTTTCTATTTGCGTACGGGACAGGTGTTGCAATCTTTGAATAAATTTATTTGTTAGTTGTTTTTTTTTCTCTTTTTTTTTTTTATTTATTACGATTGTGGTAAGAAAACAAACGAGGAAGATAATTTGTGTATAAACATTATACACACAACTGTTTTTTTTTTTTTTTTTTTAAATTGATTGTTCACGTATTATTATTATTATTATTATTATTATTATAGTTATATAGTGCGTAAAATAAAGAACGGAAATCGGATAATTACTATGCAATTTGTTTAATTATTTCTAGTCTTGCTTAAGAACTCAAACCTTTAAATATCTAGCGTAATCCAATGGATGACTCGTATCTTTTTGCATTCATATTTCTATCCTTCTTTTTTCCACTTTAACTAATATTTTCTTTAACACTTCCTTATCTTGAAGCCTTTTCTTTTTTCTTTTTATTTTACTTGCTTGCTTGCTTACTTATTTACTTATTTACTTACTTAGCAAGTTCGAGATCTTAACACATATTATGCGTGTATAGAAAAAATATTGGTACGAAAGTACCGCAGCTTAGACTGTTGTGTTGCACAATTAGTCGACTACTTTTAACTTTTAGAAATCGTAACGGAAGCAAAAGTTCAAATTACATTGACAAATTGATCTTCAATTACTTCTTTTGCAATTTTGTTTATTTTGACATTGACAAATATTATTGCACTTGTAATAAATGATAAAAAAAATATGAAAGTGTGTAAACAGAAAAAACTGAACAAACACGAATGATTATTAATTTTAAAGTAAACTTTTCATTTTAATTTATTCCTAAAAAAAAAAAAAAAAACAAGCATCAATCTTTTATTATAAACTTTAATAAAACCATGAGAATAAACTGTACTGTAAAATAATAAAAAACCATAAACGAGTGTCCACTTTCACCGTTCAAATAAAAATAAAATGAATTGTGTTAATAAAAATATGAGTTATTAAAAATAAAAATCAACAAAGACGTAATGCAATAATGATGAAGAAATAGTTGCAGTTGACTGAACAAAATTATTCAAATGTGTAATGGTGATAGGAAAAAAGGGTCAAACTATTGTTTGTTTTATTCATAAACCATTGTCATTTTTATTACGAAATTTAATCATTTTTATCGAACGGAAGTTTTCCCCTATTCCTATCTCTCTCTGTCTCTCTCTCTCTCTCTCTCTCTCTTTTATTTGTTAATGTACCTTGATAAACGCTTAATAAGCTTTTGTAATTTTTAACGAGTCTGACCTAACTAATTTCCAGCCTGTGAAAAAAAAAAACTTTAATGACGACAATCGAACCATTGTTCTTATGCAATTAAGATAAGATTGTAACAAATAAATAAAAAAAGATATGACCAATGTTTTTTTCTTTGTTTATAAATAAGAATTATAATTGATATATCATTTTGTTAAATGTTGTTCCTTTTTTTGTTCTGGGTTTTATTTTCTAGAAAAAGAAGACAAGAAATCAAATTATAATGGCGGAAACAAAGATGAACGATATACCAGACAGAATACAAGAAACATTTCAAAATCAAAATATTTTTATAACAGGTGGAACTGGTTTTTTGGGAAAAGTATTGCTAGAAAGATTTTTACGTTGTTTTCCAGGAATAATGCAAATTTTTATACTAGTTAGACCAAAAAAGGGCAAGGAACCTAAAGAACGTTTGGAAGAAATCTTCAAATTACCGGTAAAGTTTATTTACTTTTTTTGTTTTTTTTTTTGCATTAGTAATATTAAATAAAATTGAATTATTCAATAAGCTGATTCATCGATCGATACATTTTATTAAATACTGGCCCCCTTCTTTCCGTGTTTGACCATTTTCTTTACATTCTCTGTGTGATAATAGCCATTGCAGTATACAGTTTCATTCAAAAGTAATAGTTAAAATAACAAATAAAATCTATGAATTTTCTATGAAATAGGAACCCTCGTTTAATCTGTTTTAGGAATATTTTTCTTTTTTCTTCTTATAGATTCATTTATTAACTACGTAATTATTATTATCACAGATAAATGTTATAAATGAATAAAAGTATCTGTGTGTTAAAGATTTGTGTTCGACACTGTAGAATCGGACAAATTTAGAAAGGAACATGAAAGTGACCGTAAAATTTCGTTTAAGAACAAATACATTTCTTTATGATGAAATAATAAGCGTAATATCGCGGAAGTAACGAAAAAAAAGAAAAAAAATAATAAAGTTAAAATATATCTAAGACATTTTATTATGTCTTTCGAAATAAAAGAAAAAGGTTCTTTACTTGAAGATCAAAGTTAAAGAAGAAATGAGAAAAGAAAAATTTAGGTCATATGAAAAAACACGTATAACTCATTTTTTTTGTCATAATCACGTATTATACTAATTGTAAACGATGTTTATATTATGTCGTTTACAACTTTCCCGAAAACTTTCAACAAAATCAAGTGAAAGTTTATTGTGTCTATGCGTGTTTGTAAAGTCATTGTAAATAAATGCATTTGTAGAAACGAAGTCAAGGCAAAGTTATTTCAATGAAAATGTAACGAGAACGATTATTATTATTATTATTATTATTATTTTATAATTAGTTATTATTTAATAGCATAGTATCAAAATCAAATCCCCGTGAAAATTATTTATTCGTACTACTGGGCAGAGTTATTATATCATATCTTACGATTACAGAATATTTTTACTTTAATTATATGTTACACTAGGGGTGCCCTGCCACGCATTGCTGTGGCTCACAATCAAATAATTCACAATAAAATAATATTGCAAATTATAAATTGAGATATAAACTATCATTCTATCTTTCAAGTTGGATGAAACTGCACACAGTGTGCACAATTTGATTAAAATTGGTTCAGTAGTTTAGGAGTCCATTGTGGACAAACAACGTGATAAGTAATTTATATATATTAAGATATGTAAAGTATGATATTCTAATGATAAAATTATTTAACCCTTTCATTATCAGTGACCTATTTAAGGGTTGATCATACAAAAACTTCATATTAAAATGCCTACTCATTATAAATCAGTGAAATTGGTTTAAAAAGTTGAAACCAATACCATTTATCTTCTCATTATTAGAAATCTTGTTTGTTTCATAACTAACACTAATTTATTTAATTGGAAAAAATCAAATCAATTGATAGTTACATGAGATTGATTTTAAATAGTATTATGTAATAAGTAAAGTGCAAATGATATATGTTAAAAAATAATCTTAATGCATACTATTAAAATATTAAAATGTCAACAATTTAAAGTTAATAATAGTATCTTGTAGAATAACTTTTGAAAGTATAATTCGCCTACTCAAATCCGTAAATGTAATAACATTTTACATGTGTGTATGCATTAGTGTATTCCTGTAGAATAGTATTGTGTCTTTTATATTCAGCAGGTTTATTACAGTCTGGTAAAAGATGTACGTCACTTTCAAACGAATTATAAAACGCGATGTTGTTAAGGAAATTACAGGATTGACCAAAGGGTCAGGGAACACAAAAAATAAAATAAAAAATAAAATGAACTCTTTCGAAACTGATAACGATCAACTTTCCTTCATTTAAAAAAAAAAAACAAATAAGTAAATGTTCTAGTTTCAAATATTAAAATATAATTGTAAGATGAATAATAATTATATATTTTGATTTTTTTTTTTTAAATGTTTTATAAACATTTGTGTGTGTGTGCATAGTATTTATTGAAATTCTACATGATTGAAATTATGAGAATGAAAATTTCTTCATTGAATTTATTAGTAACGCTTTTTGCTTTTCTATTGCGTTAGATCATCCATAAGTTCTGTAATGTGTTTAAACGTAATTATGTTATATTCGTTTCTATCTTGCATTGTAAATGTATTTTCTTTTTCAACAAATTATACTTGAGAATAAATGATATTCGGAAATTGAAGAAAAATATTTTCTTATAGACAAAAACTTGTCATAATTTAAATCAAAATAAAAATAAAATACTTTTCACACACACACACAGAGAGAGATGGATACACGCATAAATTTAATTTATGATCATACAAAGTTTGACGAATATTATGTGTAAAAGTGTTTAAAATGTATACGCGAAATGACGAAAGTAGACTTTTACGATTTCTATCGCATCATTTCTATGCATCTTACAATTAGTGATGAAACTGTACTGCAACCGACTTACAAACACTTTCTAAGGATTTAACAATAAATTTTCTTTCTATTTTTTATCTACAACATATCACTGTTATGTCAAAAATATGAAGAAAAAAAAAAAGAAAATTCAATAAAATAAATTTACAGATATTCGATAAAGTTCGTGAACAAAGAGGATTGGAAACAATGTATAAGGTGGTAACACCAATAGTAGGAGACGTAATGTTTCCAGGACTTGGTATTTCAGCAGAAGATAAAAAAATATTAATTGACAAAGTTACCATCGTTTATCATGCAGCAGCAACCGTCAGGTAAAAACGTTTAATTTATTTGTTCTTTATGCATTTAATTTAACATTTTGTTCCTATTTGTTCTAAGATTCGACGAGATGTTGAAAAAAGCGGTACTGTTGAATACACGTGGTACACTACAAATGGTGGAATTGGCAAAAGAAATGAAGAAATTAATATTTTTCGGTTACATCGGTACTTCATATTGTCATCTCGAAGAAAAAGTATGTACAAATAATACAAACAAAAATGATTATATTAACAGTTCCAAAAAAAGTACCTACATTTTCTTAGGGTTTCTCAAACTTATCCACTTGGCAACCCCAATTCACCCTAACAAATATTATTCATCCTATCCGACCCTTGGTACTGAATGCATACATTGCATTAGAAATTTATAGACACAAATCACCAGGCACTAATTGAGAAGCCCTGATGTATTTATCCAATAAATAAGCCAATGAATTATATATTACTAATGACAATTTACCTCTAAATTGCTTGAAGTTATTAGAAGAAAAATTTTATCCACCACCTGCGGATCCTCATAAGATAATAAAATGCGTCGAATGGATGGACGATGAAGTTGTTTCGGCTATAACAAAAAAAATCTTAGGTAAAATACCAAATACCTATGCCTTTACTAAGGCTTTGTCTGAAAGGATTATTGAAGAAGCTATGCCATATATTCCAGCGGTTATTTTAAGGTAAAATGTCTTGAAATCTTTGATTGATTTTTCTTTTTTTTTTTTAAATAAATAAATGGGAGAATCACAATCATTATTATTATTATTGGTAATTATAGACCAAGTGTTGTAATACCTGTTTGGAAAGAACCATTACCAGGTTGGACAGATAACATTAATGGGCCGACAGGTATTCTAATAGGAGCTGGAAAAGGAGTAATTAGGAGCATGTATTGCAATGAAAATGGTTATGCTGATTATCTTCCTGTTGATGTATTAGTAAATGCAATTCTTGCTTGCACGTGGAATTTTGTTTACTGTAAAGATCGTGATAAAAGAATATACAATCTTACTAGCAGTAGCGATTTCAAAGTAATTGTGTTTTAATTACTTCAGTTATTCATATCAAAACTTTATATATAATTATAAATAATGCATTTAGGTTTCATGGAGGGAAGTAATAGAAATTGGACGTCGTGTAATAGAAAAAGTACCTTTAAATGGAGTAGTTTGGTACCCAGGAGGTAGTATGAAAAAATCACGTCTTTACCATGACATCTCCGTGTTTCTATTCCATACGATTCCTGCTTATATTATTGATACAATTTTATATCTTGCCCGTTATGAGCCAATGTAAGTGATAAATCATTTAACAATTATTAATTACATATGATTACTATCTTTTTCTATTTGTTTTTATAGCATGTGTCGAGTTCAACGTCGCATACAAAAAGGATTTGAAGTGTTCGAATACTATGCCAATAATCAATGGGATTTTATTAATGCAAATATAAAAGAAGTTACGAATAAATTAAATGCAAAAGAATATGACACATACTATTTGCACGGAAATGACATGGACACGTACAAATATTTTGAAGATTGCGTACGTGCTGCAAGAATTTATATTTTAAATGAACCTGCCGAAACTTTGCCAGCAGCTCGTCGACATATCAGAATGTAATATCATTTTTCATTTATATTTTACATAGATTTAAATAAATGTAATATTATATATTCTTTTATCCTCTTTTTTTTTTTACAGGATGTATTGGTTAGACATATTTACGAAGACTCTTTTTATTGGATTGACAATCTACCTGCTGTTTTCATGGATTGGTGGTTTTGAAACATTTTTTGAAAGTAGCTGGACTAGTGCAAAAAAGATATTACATTTCTAATTAGACAAATTCATGGTTTTATAATTATTTTTTTACTGTTTTGTATTATAATGAGACCAAAATAAAAATTCTATGTTATATTCCTGTCTCCTATTTTCTTCAGGTTAATTATCATTTGTTGTATTACACGTTTATTCGAAATAAAAATAAAAAAAAAACATTGTAAATATTTTTCTACGCAGAATCGTAGATTTTATTTTTAAGAAATTTCATAATAATAAAATTATTAAACCGATTCTTGAACTGGAGGTTCATAGCCTTCAGGTCTATCGACCTTAGATCCACTCTCTCCAACGTCTTCGCTTTTACTTCCACCACCATCACCGTGTAATTCGAGCAATTTACTCAATTCAAATCGTGGCTTCTTTAAAACTTTAACCTAAAACGAAGAGGATCAATTAATTATTACAAAATTATTCAAATATTTCATTTTTATACAGCAAGTGTTGGATTAATTAGATTGATACCTTGCGAATGTATACATCATGGAGTGGATATACACTTTGTGATACTTTCTCAATGTCCTTAGCCATCGCATCAGGTAACAGTTTGCTAACGACACCTTTCAAGTCGCTCTTGACAACATCGTTGGTAATGTTATCAACCATCTTTTGACGAATTTTTTTAACCTACAAATTCATTGAATATTAGTTCAACATAAATATAATAATACTTTCTTAATAATATACATTTAAATATTGCAAATGTTGCAGCATCAAATATCACTATTTCTTTGTACAGAAGTAGTGTGGTAAGAGAGCGCCTTTTAATATATGCAACTTTGTAATTTATAGATAAATACATATTTTTAGAAAAATATATATCTATCTTAGTTGCAATACAGTCATGGTGTATTTGAAATATACAAATTATATTATTGAAATAACTCACTTGAGAATGTTGGGCGTAGCAAGTTTTTCTTGTGCTCATTTGATCTTTGTTTGTAAATCCAATGCAGAAAACTCTTAGTAAATAACCATCTGTTGTTTTAACGTCGACACTGGCTTCAATTAATGTTTGCCATTTTTTAACCATGGATCTCAACTTATCAGTTGTAAGATCCATGCCATGGAAGTTGGTTAAGACATTTCTGCCTTGAACATCCTCAGCAATTAATCTAAATTTCCTGAAGGACCTCTCTGCATCGTTGTCATCTTGCAGATCAGCTAAGGAGACCTCAAATACACGGAATTTTAACCCCTCCGATGCAATTTCTGTAAAACGAAAAGATAGTTCATATAAAGATGCATTAAAATAAGAAAAGAATAACATAACCTTAAATACTAATTGAATATCATTTATTATAATGCTATCATTGATGTAAACAAAAAAATGATGAACCGAATAAGTGCTAATTTTAACAGGAATATATAAAACATCTGTAAATATAAAAATTTAGAAAGTAATCTTACTTGTTCCTTGAGTTCTGTTTACTAATGTCTTTCCCACATGACGATTTGTGAACATAGAAGGAGCCTTCACATCGTACCAATCTTTCCTTGTGAAAGGATCAACGCTGAAATCAAATTGGAAAAATACAATCAAATGAATACTTATAAAATAATTATATGCACTATTACAAGCAATAAAAAAAAAATATCATTTATATATTTGCATGCTAAGATATTTGTTCAAATATGTTAATAATTAAATAATTAATTAAAATTAGTTATCACTTTTATTATTTTACTACTAATAAAATTATGCAAATTATACAATTTAATTTTCAATCTGAAAATATAAATAATATCGTAATATACTAGATAAAAAAACATTTATTATTTAATAATATCTTAATCGCATTGCAGTACAAGCATTGCAAGCATGAAATGTTAGGCTATGTAAGACAATCCATCGAGGAAAATAGCCATCGTAAAAAATAATTATTTAAGTAATATATATTTGGATGCTAAATTAAATAATATACATGAATATTATAATATTATTTACTTACATCTTCTTTTTAACACCTTTTTTGCCGCCCTTGGACAAACCTTTATTTTTACCGACAGCCATCCTTACGAATACAACTCGAGAAAGGAAGGCATATACCTTCCGGTAAGAGAGGTTGGAGAGCTACTACCAACTTAAAGAAAACGATATCTCGCATCACCATTGGTCAATACTACGCAAGTCATTAATTGAAATGAAAAATTATTTGAATGCATACAGAATTAAAAATACAAATAAAAATAAAACATAATTAAGTAAATTAAATTTAATAAAGGATAAAAATATTCAAAATAAATGGATTCTTTCTTGTAGAACATAAAAATAATAAATACAAGTATTGTATATCCATATGAAGTTTCCTACTATGCATTTCGATCTAATCGATATATCATATCGATAGTTGGTAATATTGATGATGAAAGTAATGGCCATTGGCTATTTTCGGTATGTTCCAAATTTTACACAGTTTGTGGTGCAATTTATTTTTTATGCAGGCAAATGCACGAGAAACTATCGGTGATTTTTCGCAGTAGGCTGCGCGATAAATGAAAAATTATTCGTGGAATGTATAAACAAATAAATATTATTGAAAAAGATTTGATCTTTCGTTGCAGTACTGACAAACATGAATTTGCAAACACTTTTTCAAGATTTCAATCCAAGGTAATCATCCTCTTGTCTTTATTATTTAAATCTCTAGAATTTATTCTAAATTTATCATCACTTGATTCTTTGTTGTACGTTTTCTTGAACACCAACAAAAGAAATAATTATTTCAATGGTGTTTCAACTATAACAAAGAATATAATGAAATATTAATATTAATAATAAATTTATATATATATATTTTTTTTTAAATATTTATAATAGTAAAAGAACAAGATTGTCTTATAAAATTTATTACTCATACAGTTTTTTTCCTTTAATTTTATAGCAAATTTTTGGTCTATTCATGTTTGATGATATTTACTGCTTTGTTCGCTCTTCGATTGGATGGTTTCATAGAATGGAGCTTCTGGACAATATTTAGCCCAATATGGTTTTGGAAGGGTATGGTAATATTGGGTGCTACCATTGGAAGTTATGTTTGGTGGAGACATCCACATTCAAGATTGGAAGGAGATGCCTATGTTCATTACAAAGCAATGTTGATTACTTTGGCATTACATTTGATCTTATTAATGTTCGAACTGTTAGTTTGCGACAAATTGGAGTCCGATAGGCATTTATGGATATTAGTTTTTATACCACTGATTTTCATCTCAGTTGTATCTATAGCTGTATGTAGTATTTATACGTTTATTTATTTACTATTAATTTCATTATATTTATAATATATATATATTGATTTTAATCATCTTTATATTTTAGGTCTGCATTTGGGCTGTGAAACACGATAGGTCTTTTGAATTAGAACTATTTTGCGCTGTCAATGTATTGCAATTTATTTTCTTGGCACTAAGATTAGATGGCTTTATTAATTGGAGTTGGGAGGTAGTGTTTGTACCTCTTTGGGCACTCCTTTGTTTATCTCTAGTTGCTGTTCTATATGCAATAGTGTTTGCTGCTGTTTTATTAAGAACACCTCAGATTAATGCAAGACAAAGGCGGACATCTTTGCATTCAGCACTAGCATATACATTTCTTGTTGTTCCAATTTTAATATTTCAAGTAAGTAATAATAAATAAAAAAAAATGTATATATTACATATCAATTGTTTAATATTAAGTTATTAAATGTTAATTATTGTTTTATTTTATCAGGTACTGTTAGCTAATAAATTGGACGGTGATATTTCTTTAAATTATACAACAGTGGCGATGCCTTTACTCATATCTCACATAACACTTATTTTCATGTCATTTGGAGCAAAAGGAGGAAATAGATGTAAGTGATATTTACATGATAAAACATTTGTAATAAATCTGTAATTGATCTGTTAAAACATATCTTTGGTTTTTTAACAGGGTGGTTTGGTATTCGGAAGGATTTCTGCCATTTTCTGTTAAGCCTATGTCCATTGCTTCAAGAGTATGGTAACATTTCTTATCAACCGAGAGGTGAACAAGATCAACCACCATCCGAACCAATGGTTAGTGAAAAGAATGAGAAGCACATAAAGAAAATTGACCTAACAAAACCTGTAGTGCCTATAATTTCTATAGATATGCCAGATTGATCGAATTGGCCTAGGTATAATATCAATATTTTTCAATAATCTCATTTATATATTGGATTAATATTTTCAAGATAACATGCCTTACATTACAGAATTTATCTTGAATATTAATACATTCTTTTCAATGTTACCTGTGAGTTGCCATGTACGTAACATGAAACTGAGAAAGAAAGAGAGAGAAAGAAAGAAAGAAAGAGAGAGAGAGAAAGAGAAAGGTGGGTATATAATTGTAAATTAAATAATAAATATGAAATTGTTATTTTCGCTACACTAGGTCTTATAACAAATTGTTATTGTTAGTTTAACATGCGCCAGGGCAATCGTGATGATCATGTTATGCATCTTGTTATTGGAAATTAAATATTAAAGATGCTCACAAGAGCATTATTTGTTTGTTTTTTTTTTAATATAAAGTACGAAATAAAAATAAAAAAAAAAGGTAATTATGTTATATCCCTAATTGACTTAAAGGGTGAAACAAAACTTACGGCTTCAAAAATGTATGTTATATAGTCTAATTGTTATGGTGCTCAATATGATAACGAGTTTAGGTCTCTACTTTATCTTCCACATATCCTAATCACTTAATTTGTGCTTAGCATAAGTAATTGACCCGTCCATTTGTTTCGGTAATTCTTTTTTTTTGGTTTCCAAATGTAAGTTTTCTCTTTCCAAATAACTTACTTCTTTATTTTTTATTTATCTATCAATTGTAAATTATTCAACGATAATGTAATATTAATAATCGGCCTTTGTTAATATTAATTTTTATATAAATTGTAATAAGTGTTATGATGGTGCTAAAAATTGATTATGGTATTATACCGTATTAAAATTTAATCATTTGTAATTATTGCAACAACAATTTATTTTATGTGCTTTTAAAATGAAATATTTGTTTCCTTCAAATAGGTAGCTAAATACTATTGTATATATAAATATATATATATTTAATTATATAAAGTGAGTTTGTATGAAGAAGCTCCTTTCATTAGAATATTTCTTCTTAATCGTTTATTACAAATGATTATATTTTTAAGTTTCTATTGATATCTATTAGAAATATGTGATGTGTGTACCCATATATATATATATTATTTATTATATTATTACTTCAAAAGTGCTAAAAATGCAAAAGAAAAATTACAATGTATAAAAATGTGTTCCTGCGATATTGTATAATATATATATATACAATTTATAATTATTATAATATTATTCAACATTATTGTATTGTAATATTTTAAGTATGGGTACATACACGTTAGAAATGAAAAGGCTTTGTTACTTCCAATTAAATATTTGAGTACTTGCTATACAAATATTTTAGCTATATCGATAATGAATATGATGATTCTATTATATTTTGACGATTTTAGATTGAGTGATATATTATTTTTCTCTAAAGTAAAATAATGAATTTCCATATTAATGATAAATATTGTATGAATATTTTGTATCCTTAAACTATTGTAAATTTTGTTATAAACTGAAATATGTGAACTATTCAAACGTTAGGTACTTCATGGTGGGATTCAAAATAAAGAGATTGGATTTACTGGCTGGGATACAAGACTGAGCACCTCGCATCTTTAGAATAATATTGGCAAGATATAAAAAAAATGAAAAGATTAAATATATATATATATGAGAAAATTTAGAAAATAATAATTATAATCGATAACAAAAATCTGTTAATGTTTTTAGGAATCGCATCTTTTAAATGCCCGATCAATGATTGTGTTATATTGTAGAAAAATGTACAAACCTCGTTGCATTACAATAATATTGTGTGCGTGCATGTATGTATGTATGTATGATGGGGATGTATATATATATATATTATATATTAGATATTGTATAATATATACATACAAATGTATTTATATATATATATTATGCATATCTGCCACGAGCGATGGTGATGAATAATTAGTGATATTGTTTTATTTTGTATATCTATTACACATTAAGTCCATTATAATCTAATAAAGTTTATATTTTTTGATATCAATGAATACGATTAATTAAAAACATTGAATAAAATCTAGATATATTATTATCTTTTAATATATATAAATTACGTGTCACGTTGTTTGTCCGCAATGGACTCCTAAACTACTAAACCGATTTTAATCAAATGTTGCACACTGTGTGCAGTTTCATTCAACTTGAAATATAGGATAGTTTATATCTCAATTTATAATTCACAATATTATTTTATTAATCGCGAATTATTTGTTTATTAACAAAGAGTCATGATTATCTCTGTTAGTTCGATAAGATTCTAACAAATGGCGATATAAGGTAATTCGTTGACTTAAAGACGTGTGTATCGGACTGATTGTGGCACTTCTAGTTTAAAATAAAACTTACAAAAAATAAGACTTAAATAAATCGACATTTTTATCGTTTGTATAAATACTGCAAAAAAAAAAACAACTTCTAACATAAAATATGTGTATTATGTACATTGTATTTATATTACGTAATAATCTATAATCTAAATAATTTATCGGTTAAATAAGTACAAAAATGCATATATCCTTGGGTTTTGATTATCACTTATACGTATCATAGTTCTCACGTTTACGTATCATTTATCACATCGTGTTACGTTTTTTAAAATCAACGTTGTTTAAATTTCAATTCATTCACAGTTTCCCATTATTAAATAAGATAATACCTGTTTCACCATAATGGTATATACTCAGGTACCCAAGTATCTCCAAGAAGGGAAGAAACTTTTGCTGTTACATCCAAAACATCCAATTCTAAATCCTCGATTAAAGATGTCTCACGGATATAAAGTATTTTTAAACGTTCCGCGCATATGGTTACGAATTTAAGAAGACCTATGCAACTAAACGATAAATCAAATTGTTAACAAAATATTATGTAGTACTTAATTAGGAAAAATTAAATATTATTTGTATTACCTAATTTCGCAGTCACCCAAACCGATGGAGTTGAGTCTAGGACATCCTCGAGCAACGTTAATTAAAACATCATCGATTAAACCAGGCCCATAAGCAGATATAACTAATTCCACCAATCTTGGACAATAATTGTGAATTCTTAATGCTACAAATTCCGATGGTGCTTCTCCAAAGTACAAATGTGTAACAGGTATACGTGACGTAAAAAGGGTTTTATGTTCTTCTTCGTCAGTTATGTAAGATAATCTGCAAACAAAACAGATCAGTTACTTAACTATATTTTTTCTTTTCTTTTGAAAAAAAAAAAATGATTATCATGTCATTTACAGAATGAGATGGGTGTTTGGAAATCGATCGGCGAAGGTTGTCCACGTTTTTTCACTGATAACAGGAAGGGGTGTAGTTTCGGAATGTATTTCTATTCTTAGAGTTTCCAAATTGATTTCTTCCTCGGTGCACAATGCAATCAATAAATCGTCGCTTAGTAAAGAATAAAACATGGATAATTCGCGAAGACATCGACAATGATTGACCAATTTTAATATATCTGAAGGAAGACAGAACAAATATTAATTAAACTTAATATCATTAAGTATAAAAAAAAAAAAGGAAAATAATGGTTTACCTTCTGGCAATAGATTCGGTGAACCCCTGATCCTCAAAAGTTGAAGACTCTTAGCTAAAGCGTTGTCTTCGTTTCCTCGAGAACGATCCTTTTTTTGTTCAATTGTAGTTTTATCATTGGATAATGTTGACGTGGTGTTGAAACCTTCGCTATCGATATACGCCGATTTCGACGTACTTATCAATGCCAACATCTAATGAGGATTAATTTACATAAAAATCAATTGAATAAAAATTACGATTAAGACAATGATGAAAATATTAACAATAAAAATTACCTTTAAAAAGATATATCCAATTGAATGATATATTTCTTTTGGTAATGAAAAATATATCTCTCCAAATTATAAATGATTGAAACTTCAGTTACTAAAAGGAAGACTAGTGGAAGATTGTTGTCGCCAAGGAACGGTGGCTTTTCACCAACTACCGACTAAAAACCAAACACCGAGAAAAAGCGAAAGGAGAGGATTGGAAAGGCATGTAATTATTGTGTAAGTTAACCATTGATCTCAATTTGTTGGGGGATGAAGTCAAGAAAAGGTGGTGGTGATGGTGGTGGGGAACGAAAGGAGAGATACCTTTTTTACTTAGGAGGGGAAATCAAAAGGAGAGGAGATTGGCAAGGAACGTTGCACGTGAGGATATGTATCCAAAAGGAAGCGAGCTATAGGCCAAGTAAATTCGTTCTCGTGCACAATCAGTGAAGGTAGTACTTGCATACGGTAAAAGTACTGCTAAACGGGTCAGGGACTCATGTTAGAAGTATACTAGAAGTAAGAATCTTGTAGGGCACTCACGTGCTTATCTTTTATGCTCACGTGTACGCTCGTTTTTGCCTCTAGCTAATTTTTTTTGAAATTTTATTTCCTTTAAATATTCAATCACGTGAACAAACCAATAAAATATATACTTATGAGTGTTATATCTAAAGGTTGGGACTATATTAATAAAACATTTTTAAACTTATCATTCTTTACAATATTGAACCAAAAAATTATTATTTATTAATAAAAAGAATATAAGATAATGGAATGATACGAATTCATAAAAAATTTTAAGGTAATAGATCAACATTGCGACACATTATGTATTTTGAATAAAATCTTTCCAGGAAATGTTAACAACTAAACAAAATAGTAAGAGAAATCATTCTAACTAACGTCCCTGGCCCGGATACGCAGAACCTGTATCGACTCACGTGTTTGAAAAGCGATTTAGTAGGGACCTCAGTAACAGGTATTCGGAATAAGAACTATACTTAAGAATAGTTGGGTAGGAAGTGGATGGAATTCGCGGTATATGTATAGATAGATATACATGCATACATCATAAAACTTAGATATGTTTGACAAGAATTAAACGTGCAAATAATATTAACTAGCGTAAATATTTGAATCACTTGTAATTTTGATTGTTTTCAGAATCCACAAGATTTTCCGCAATTGTAATTAAATGAAAATGATTGATCCAAGAAATATCACCGTTCGTTGAATTCCAATAAATATTTGAAAATGTGTACGTATTTTTTATGCCACTTTTATACAGCATGGTTTTAACAACTTCCACAGAAACTCTTTTTTAAACACCTGCAACAAAATTATACATATTTATTTGATTAACATTTTCTATTAGAGTTAAGGAAATAATTAATGAACAAACATATTCAAGCAAAAATCTAGTAACACCCGTTGTATGTTAATTATAAATGTTACCTCACGATATTAATTTTTTAAATTAATCTACACGTGACTATTTCGTAGTTTAAATGATAAATTATTTATAGTACGATTTCCGTATATACCTAATACATTTAATTATAAAATATACAAGGTTTCTTAACAAGCAGGATCCTTTGATTAACTCGAAAGTCTTCGTACTTCTCGATACATCTGACATTTAAGTTTAACTAACTGACTTTTAAACTATCTTTACGCGTTTGGAATCGTGACACCATTTTTCCGATAGAATACTACGATCATTTACTTTTCTACCATACATTTTAATCTTCCTGATGATATATAAAATCGTGTAATATAATTTATAATGTATATCCTAATTATTTAATCAATTATTTTATTCATTTTCTTTACAGTTATATCTATATTCATCAAAAATTTCATTATATTACACATTTTTACATATCATTCATTTGTTTTAATACTCATACAATGATAACAAATAAAAATGAATGAAAATGAGAAAGGATAGTTAATTATTATCAATGTTTCGTGTATTCGTTTGATAATAGTGAGCTTGGAAAATTTAATCTATACGTATCTATGTATATAGGTACCTATGTATACGTATACCACGGGTCGTAGACTCAGCGTGCACGTGCCTCGGTGATCACGTGTGCCGTTGACGTTTAAAATGCGTGTGTCTTTGACCAAGTGCACCCGGCCTACCAAAGAAATTCTTCATCTATCGGAAAATACACAACGCTGTAAAAACATTCATTTACTTTTTTTTAAACATTTCATTAGATAACTCGTTGGAAAATATTCTTTAAAGATAATTTTGATTATCCAAGATCAACATGAATTTGTATTTTTAATATAATATACGAAGAATGACGTTGATTTTGTTTTTTAATAAATATTGTTAAATATTAAAGAATAGAATTAAACAAAGGAATTCATTAGAATCATCTCGTTATGATTTGATATAATGATTGATAATACCTGGATACTACGATTATTTGTAAAATTAAACATCTACTGTAATATGAAAGAGAAAAAGCAAATTAATTAACAAACATTAACACATTGACAAATTTTACTTAATAAACATTCGAATAATTTTGTTAAATTATTCGAAATTAAATACACTTACCAAATATGATATTATCTTCAAAATAATTATGAATTCCCAATGATTATTATTATACAAATTATACAATTATTCTAGAAAATTCCCAACGAGTAATATAAAAATAATGACAGTGGCTATCTCGAAATTTTTAGTAGAAAGATTTGTGTGTGTGTGTGTTTTTTTTTAACGTGACGTATTACTCACACATAATACTTCGCATAATCAACTGACACGACTGAAAAGATATCTTGGCTTTTCACAATTGTACAATGTGTTTGTCGATTAAATAGATTTCTTAGTTATCAACTTATTAAATAATAATATTTATATATAATAATGTTTTTAATTATTAATTAAGTAAAAAAACGTGATTGATTTTAAACAATTTTTCCATGTTTTTTTGTCTTTCTCTCTCTCTCTATTTTTATACATGTCACGACATGTATTTATCCATAATATTAAATGTAAGTTCAAGACTGTAGAAACAAGCGGCGTTTGCAATAAATGCACGTATCAGGACAGGTACCACACCACGATAAAGTCCTAGAATACCTCCTTCTTTCATTATTATTGGAAAAACAGATCTAACACCTCGTGGATAAGTTCCCATTGGAGAAATTTGTATTCGTGTCTTAATTGAATCAGCAGGTAAACTAACGAGCCAGGTTGCTATTCCTGCCGTACCACCAGCCAATAGAGGTTGCCATGTTATCTTATTGTGTTAATCAATTAATTAAATATTAGAATCAAATCTATTAAATATA